CTCGGTGGAAGCGGCCAGAAGAGAGCAGCTCAGGGCAAGGATCTGAGAGAACCAGGGGTATCCGGCCCAAGGTCATTTCATTGGTAGAGCTCTCCAGAGTGGGACATGCCAGAGCCTTCTTGCTTCCATCCTGGAGTGGAGCCAAGAGCCTGGGGCGTGGTGTGTGCTGGAGTCTCTGGGCAAAGGGGGATGATGCTCCCTCTTTACCATGGAGCAAAACCTGTGGGAAATCCTCCTTCCCCTATCTTCCTCAGTCTGCTGTGTCTCCTCCTGCATTCCTGAGCTGGTGTTCGGTCCTGGGGTGGTGGGGGCTCGGCTGCGTTTAATTCTCTGCTGTGTCTCTGAGTAGCACGTGCATACCCAGGAGTGTCGGAGGGAGGAAGAAGAGGGGAGAAGGGATTGTGAAGAATGCTTCTGTCCTGTAGTACTCGATCGCTGCTGGCAGTAACACCGTCCCTCTTCCCACCACCACCTCCTCCTACCTACTTGCCCCCTTCCTCACCCCAGCTCCCACAGTACTTGCTATGGGACCATGCAGAGATGAGCCTCTAAAAGGCATGTGGTCCCCGAGTCCTCACCACGGACCCTGTAAGGCGGGGACGGCAGCGACCCCATCGCTCATGCTCAGAGATGCCCCACAGCTAGTGGGTCAGGAATCCAAGGTCCACGGCGCAGATGGTGGGATCCTTCCCCCTGCGGGACAGAGACACCCACCCTGGAGCCCCGTATGCACCGAGCCTGTGCCCACCCACCTGCCCACTACCTGCACAGGTGTATGAGGGCGGGAGCAATGTGGACCGGTTCGTGACCCGCTTCCTGCTGAAGGAGACAGCCAGTCAGATCCAGTCACTGCTGAGCTCGGTGGAGAGTGCTGTGGACGCCATCGAGGAACAGACCAGCCGGATCCGGTGCGTGTGGGGGCGGGGCCCACCGAGGAGCTCCTGGGTGCAAATCCCCGGGGGAGCTGCCACACCTTTCTGAGCCTCCACTGCTCCTCGTAGAGGGTCGCAGACACCCACCCACCCCCTATACACGCTGCACCACCATGACCACAGCCACGCTGACAGACGGCACTTGCCTCGGCCACTGGTTTCAGCCCAAGGCTGCTGAGTGGCCTCTGCAGGACAGGCTGTGACCCTGCTGCTTGTGCATGCCCTGACTGCCTGCTGGGAGGCCCTGCCAGCCGTTCTCCAGGCACAGGGAGAGGTCACATGACAGGGTTCATGGGAGATACACACCAGGACCACAGAGGCAGCAGTGCTGAGGCTGGGCGGGTGGAAAGGGAGGGGCTGGCTGGGCATTGGGGTGTGCGTGTCCTGGCTCGCCCTTTTGCACATGGCTTGGCCACTGGGGGAGGCGCCAGCTCTGCTTACTCCCAGCCTTGGAGCAGGGGGAGTGCAGGAGCCGGGCTGAGGGCTGAAGCAGAAGTGAGTTCAAATTGCACTCTGCCCCAGCTGGCTCTGTGCCTTTGACCAGATTGCGACCTTCAGGCCCTCTTTTCCAATCCAGAACCAAGGTGATACTGCCCCCCACCCTGGGAGGGGGTCCGATGTCAGAGTCGCTGACAGGTAACGGGGCCCCCGAATCCCCTGCCGTACACTGTCCGTGCATTTCTCCCATCCATGCTGCAGACAGACCCACAGCAAACCCAGTCATGTGGTCACAGAGACCTGGTATGGACATGCCACGCCTCCTTACACCCCCAACCACAAGCTCGTGGCCACAGAACAAGTGAAGAGCCTTCCAGCAGGTGAGAGGGGCCCGGGAGTCCTGGGAGGGCCCCAGGGTCAGGGCCTAGAGGAGGTTGGGACTCCAACAGGCCCACCACAGCCTCATGGTCCTCCTTCCCAGTCTCAGTGGACTCCAGGGAGGACGGACTGGAGGCCCAAGTGAGTCGGCTGGCAGAGCTGATTGGGAAGCTGGAGAACAAGGTGAGCCTGGCAACACTCCCACACCCACCCCCAGCCTCAAACTGCTCCCAGTCCCCAGGGATGGAGGGCTCAGGGCAACTGCTGGGAACATTATCACTGGCTGGATCTCAGACTGAGGACCCTGCTCCGGACCTGTGGGACAGGAAGCCTGTCCAGAAGGGCCTTCATCAGCAGAGCCTGGGCTGCTAGGGACCCCAGCTTCTAGTTGAGCATATCAAGGGGGGGGGGGTGTGTCTGAGTGAGGGGAGAGTAGAGACCACCCAGCCATCAGCACATAGGCTGTGCAAGTCCACACCACCCACCTTGGTCCCAGCCTCCCAGATCCACCAGCAGTAGAGGCCCTTCAGTAACAGGGCACTGCTGGCTCCCTGGGGAGTGTTTCCTGTCTGAGAAGGCTGGCACTGTGTCCATGGAAGGGGAGTGCCTCCAGGTGGCCCAGGTCACGGCTCAGTGGCGCCATCATCCCCAGGCCAGGATGACGTTGGCTGAGGGCTGTTCCCGGACCCGGAGGTGTAGGTAGCACTTAACAGTGAAGTGAACCAGGGCCTGGTTCTTGGGGAATGTAAGATGCTGAGCCCACTCACCCACGGGCCCAGGTGAGAACTGCAGCCCCTCCCTCCACCCCACAGCCGGATGGAGGGAGGTGGTATATGCTTTCCACGATGATGTGTGTGCTATTTTGTCTTTTGCAAACATCTGAATTTCCGTGGGCTTGGAGTCGATTCTGAAGGGGCAGGCTCCTCTCCTCCCCCCACTTGCCGCTGAGGCAGTGAGGGGGCGCCCACCTGCCGGCTGGGGTGGACCCACCCGGGAAGCTGGCTGCTGGTGGGAGCTCGGCGGCGGGGACCCCGTGGCCCGGTTGTCATAACAACTCTGCGGGTGCCTCAGAGGGAAGCTCTTTGAAGCTTATTTTTAGCGCCCTGGTCGCCCTAACAACCATGCTGGAAGCCCATGAGCACCTGGGAGTCCTGGAGGTGGGCGGGGCTTCTGTGCCGCTGCTGATTGGCCCGAGCAGAAGCCAATCTGGTCCCGACGTCTGAGCCCACCTGCGCTGACTCCGCCTGCTTCCTGAGCTGAGAGGAGACAGGTGGGGGACGGTGTGTCAACAAAGACCCAGGCTTTATCTGTGGTGGGTGCCCAGGTAAAAAGGGAGTCTAGGTGGGGACCCCAATTCCCAGCTAACAGGACCTTCACTCCCTGCCATGGAGTTAATGTCCCCTCCCTGGGACCCTCTAGGACAGAGTAGAACTGCCCCTGTGGGTTTCTGAGACTGTCACTGTATGGGAGCACAAAGCTCTGTCTCAGAGCAGCTGGTGGTTTTGAACTGCTGACCTTGTGGTTAGCAGCCCGGTATGTAGGCCACCATGGCTCCATGCTGCTTCCTGTAGAGGCTGAGAAGTCAGTGTAGACTTGGTTCAAATCTCTCCTCAGAGAAAGATTCACAACCTCAGAAACCCCAGGGGTCTTTCTACTCTTGCTTATGGGGGGCCTGTGGCGTGTGTGAATTAAGAGCAGTGGGCTTGCTCTGAGTTTAATGCAAAGGCTAGTGTGGAACACCCCTGCCTCCCATGTTCCTCAGTACCAGGGGATGATTCATGGGTTGTGGGCAGCAAGCTGGCCTTGAGTCCCAAGAAGCCAGCACAGCTTGACCCAGCTACCCTCCGCTCCCAGAAGCTGCTGAACCGTGGGTCTCCCTGGGCCGGGCCGGAGGGAAGCTTCCTGCGTCTCAGGGCTGACTGCACCCAAAAGCCGCCTTTCTGAGGAGCAGGGTCCGCCTCAGGGCCCCAGCCCATGGAGGTGACACCCTCGGGTGTCAGCCACTGTCTGTCCTCCACATCGTACCTGGGGACGGGGGTGGGGTGGTCTATCCGCGTGGGTTCCATCTCTGAGAACGGCCCCAGAGGCTGTCGCCCTTTCTAGAACGGGTAGCCAGGGCTCGCCTGAGGCTGTGTGTGTGTGGGGGGGGGGTTGTTGAATCACTGAGGATGATGTCGGCTGAGGGCTGTCACCAGGGTAGTGGGTTATACAGGGCCTGCTGACAAAGTCCGCAGTTCGAGACCACCAGCTGCTCTGAGCGAGAAATTGAAACTCACTGCCACTGAGTCTCTCCTGACTCATTGTGACCCTGAAGGGCAGAGGAGAACTGCCCCATGAGCTAGGAGACTCTTCCTAGGGGAGTACAAAACCTCATGGTTACAGGTTGGATGCTAATTGCAAGGTCAGCAGTTCACGACCAGCTGCTCCTCGGGAGGAAGACACGCCCTCTGCTCTTGTAAACCCACAGGGCCAGTTCCACCGTCCTATAGGGTCACTCATGACATGTGGCCATGGTTCCATGGGAGTGAGAAAGGTTTTAAAGAGCAGGGCAGGGGACGAGTAGAGTCCCACATTTCTCCCGAGCAGCAGCTGGTGTTTTGAGCTGCTGCCTTGCAGTTAGCAGCCCAACCTGTAAGCACGAAGCTTTCTCCTCCTGTAGTCAGTCTCTGAAACTCACGGGACAGTTCGACCCTATCCTGGCGGGTCACTGAGTCAGGATCGCAGTGAGAAGCCAGCTGCAAGGAGCAGCCCCTGTGCACATACAGGACTCACACCCGGCTGGGGGTTAAGGAGTCCAGGCCTCCTGCCTGTTTTTGGGCCTGGAGAGAAGGCGCCTGACCAGGGAGGCCTGAGGCTGCCTCCTGGGGGCTGTGTGGTAGCCCCCCTCCCCAGCACAATGCCCCTCATCTAACCTCCATTGCAGAGCCTCTGGTTTGACCTGCAGCAGCGGCTGTCGGATGACGAGGGTACCAACATGGTGAGTCCCAGGGCCTTCCCGGAGCCGCAGCTCCATGCGTGGTCACAGCAGGGGTGGGACTGCTGTGGAGGGGTCATCTTTTAAAGCCGGGTGTGTGCGCTCACGCTGCTGGGGCGGGAGAGGACCTGCTCACGCCCCCTGTCCCCTCAGCACCTGCAGCTGGTCCGGCAGGAGATGGCCGTGTGTCCTGAGCAGCTGAGTGAGTTCCTGGAGTGTCTGCGACAGTACCTGCGGGCCACCGCTGCCGAGCAGGACTGCTTCCAGTGAGTGACCCAATCCCAGCCCTGCAGGGCCCCACGCAGCTCTTGCCCTCAGCGTACAGGGCCTCATGAAGTTGGACCGAGGGGGTGGGGGTGGGGATGTGTGTGTGAGTGTGCTATGCTCCAGGGGTCTGTAAGGGTGAGCGTGGTGTGTGAACCCACGCGTGCTTAGCTGTGGTCCTGGGTGCACTCTCCGTTCACGTACCCAGCAAGGCCCAAGGTCAGTGTGGGAGACACGGCAGCCGCTGCCCCTCACAGGCCTTGCCCACTGGCCCCTGCCCCACTAGCAGGCTGCCTCACCCTCTCTGTTTCCCTGGTAGCGTCGCCGCCATGAGACTGTCCGACGGCTTCACCTTTGTCGTGTACGAGTTCTGGGAGACGGAGGAGGACTGGAAGAGGTGGGACGGGTGCCAGGGGCCCTTCCTGTCCTAGGGTCCAGAGCCGTGTGGGAGACGTGGGCCTCGATGGGCACAGGGCACACCTCCCAGGGATGGAGGGGGCAGTGGGGCCCAGCCCTGAGTCCGTTGGGGTGAAGTTCCTCCATACGACCGTACACTGGGGACTATCTCCTTGGAGATGTGCTCTGTGGGATCCCAGCAGCCCCACGCCTTCACGCACAGGCCCTGAGAGCTGATGTTACCCCGTTACAGACACCTGCAGAGCCCGGGGTGCAAGGCGTTCCGGCACGTCAAGGTGGATACGCTGAGCCAGCCGGAGGCCCTAGCCAGGGTCTCTGTGCCGGGTAAGGGAGTCCCAGCCAGCATCCAGGCAGGAGTTGGGGCAAGGGGACGAGGCCATTCCCAGGAGGGGGACAGGTTAGCCCTGGCTCTGTTCCACTCAGGTAGCTGCACCAGGTCACTGCAGGGATGGATATTGCAAGGCAGCTTGCACCTAAGGCTGAGACAGACTTGGGAATAGGGGGCCAGGCCGCACACGGGAAGGTGGTCCTGGCCCCCCAGAGTCTAGATGGGTGCGTCCCCAAGGCTGCTAACTTCCCAGTAGGAAGGCCATGGGCCCTGAGCACTCACACATGGGCTTGTCATTGCCTCCACACCTGGGCAGCCCCAACAGTGGGCTGACTACTCCCACCCCTGCCTGTGCCCCCAGGGTTCATGAGAGGGGCACCTGTCCGCCAACCTTTGCCCTGACACCTCTCTCTCTCTCTCTCTAGCTGCTTGGTGCACAATGGCCAGAAACTGACCGCCTCTCTCTGCAGCCCTGCAGGAGCCCGCCTGCCCCTACCCACCCAGACCCCTAGACACTGGTTAATGTACTCTCTTTCCAGACACTTCTAAACAAGAATGTATCTTCCTGCCGTTGGGAGCAGAGGGCCCCCGTCCCCACTGCAGCCATGGGGCAGGGGTCTCTGACACTGCTGCCTGATCCCTCCCCACCTGACCACACGCATGACCCACCCCAGTGCCCAGGTAGTGAGGACGTGGCAGGACTCGCCCTCCACCCTGCTGGTTGTAATTACCTGTAGGAGCCGAGACCCCGTAGCGCCCGACCCGGGCCTGGCCCCACGCAGAGCCTGCCCGCTGTGGCCACAGGTACCAAATAAACTCGGGAACGCCCCTCGTGTCCTGTGCCTGCTTCCTGACCTCTCACTGACACGGGAGCAGTGAGCTGGGAACCCCTTCTAAGCTGCAGGGCAGGTCCGAGTCTCCTCCTCCGGCCTCGGTTCCTTAAGCTTTTTAAGGCGGCAGCAGCCCAGGAGAAACGGTCGGGGAACCAACGTCCAGCAACCAAAGGGCCAGAAGGCACAGACGTATGGCATTGTCAAAGGGGTCCGACACATCTGATGGACCTCGCAGAACTGAGAGATGTGCGGGCGAGACTTTACTATCTTAGGATATTTAGAAGTAAGCTTTTAAGATCTGCATATTCAGTAGTTACCTATGTCACAAAATGGGCAGTATCTACATTAAGGGTCCCTGAGCTCACAGGTGAGGAAACCTAATACCTGTAAGGGGGGTTGGGTGTCACAGTGGGAAGAGAACAAAAAGATAGTATCTGCTTCTATAGGGAGATAGAACCAACCATGTGCTCACTGTAGGGCAGCGTAACTGTTAAGGGGAGAATCTGTGGGATTGATTTTTAAAGCAGGACAATGTACTTGGACCTTACCTCTAACTTACCAAAGTGGAGGCTTTCCTACCGTGGACTACCAGCTTTCCAGATTCCCTCTGTGATAAGTTAGGGAATATAGTCCCTGTCCTATTTCCTTCAGTGTTAGTTTCCCACCAAGCAGCTTGGCTTTGCTGCCATCCAAGAATTCACCCAGGAACGAGCATGAAACCCTGCAGAGGTGCCTCTGATGACCGCCACCCTGGGAACCAGTGCTGGGGGGTCTGGAGCCATGCAGGACAGGGTAGAACTGCCCCTGTGGGTTTCCAACACTAACTCTTCACAGGAGCAGAGAGCCTCATCTTTCTCCCTAGGTGTGACTGGTGGTCCCAAACTGCTGACTCTGCAGTTAGCAGTTCAATGTAACAAACCGTTTGGCAGTTCCTCAGACAGTGCACCGGAGTGGCCACATGCCCCAGCTATTCCTAGGAATCCGGTAACTCAGGGGCTTCATTCAACAAGGCCTGGGAACAACGGTCGAGAGGATAATGGAGCTCTTCCTGGCATCTTTGAAGCCCCCTGGCCTGCACCAAAGCACTGAGCACAGAGATTGGGGCGTCAGTGTTCATGCCGCGGAAGGCGAGCGCGTGCGCGCATGCGCGGGCGCTCGAAGTTAACAGGATGCCCACAGCAAGCTGAATGAGGGAGCCGGGAGCACAGACACGCTGCTCGCTGGGTTGGCAATGGCGAGGCAGGCGCACTGGACAGGAAGTAGGCAGAGCCAGGAGCAGCCGTTGGCCACGTGCAGTTACGCAGCTCTGTGGCTGCATCTAGGCTCATTGAGTTGCCTGTCCAAATTGGTCTGTGTGCTCGATGGGGGCTTCGGAAGGTTTGGGGAATGATAGAATCAAAAAGTGAATGGGCTCTCTCCTCGGATTCCTGGAAGCCTCCTCACATGCGTGACCACAATTAAAAACAACAGTGAATGGAGGTGCTAAGTTGCTAGCAGCAACTGGCTCTTCCCACAGGCAGGAGACCGGGACCCTGTGAAGGATTCTCTGCCCTGGTTACCGACCACAAACATCTTCAGACACATTTGTCCCGAGAAGTCACAAGGACCCCGAGAGGAGACCTCCTCAAGGCAGGAGGGCAAGGGGCACAGGTCCCTAGAGGGGATCCCCCACCTCAGGACTTGCCCCCCCTCCCCTGCTTGGCCCAGCCAAGGCTGACAGCCAGCTGTTAAGGAGCTATTATAAAGCACCTGCCCCATCCCTCTGCAGCTCGGTGCTGGCCTTGCAGGACAGGGAGATGCAGCTCCCCCAACCCTGCTCTACGCCTCTTCCACAATCCTGTCTGCAAAGTGGGGACAAGACACCGTCTTTGAAGTCCCGTCCCGCCCCCCCAGGCCATCCGGCATCAGCTGGCACCAGAGCAGGCAGGCCCCACTCCCTCGGGAGCTGGTATTTTTCCAGCCAGCTCGCCTATTGTCACAACGCTCCCGGGCTTAGCGCCTGGGGACCATGGTGGGGGACGATGGCAGGGGGAACCCACACAGCTGGGCGTGTCCATCAGCCCGCTCCCTGCGCCCCACCCTCACCATAGCATCTGGCTGCCACCAGCCCACGGGCACCAAGTGCCTCGGTGCCTCCCCAGGGTGAGTAGGTGGGGACAGAACGCATCTCAGCCTAAAAGGTAAATAATAGCATCCACTTGCGCTTACGCTCCGGAACCACACGAGCCCCTGCATACCGCAGGCACCACTTCACCCCAGGTCAGCTTCATCCCAGGCAGCAGACCAGGACACGGAGACCAGCCTTCCTTCCGGTGGTCATGTAGCAAGTGAGTGAGCCAGCAGCACAGCCCCCCCAGCTCCTTGCCCCCACCAGCCATGCTCTCACCATCCAGCTACAAGGCATCACATGCCCAGCCCATGCCGGGACGCTTTCCGACTCAGAGTGACCACAGGACAGGGTGGAACCACTCGGTGGTTTCCGAGGTTGCAAATCATGACAGATGGCCTAATCTTGTCTATTCCAGAGCAGCTGGTGGGTTCAAACTGCCGACCTTTCCGTCGGCAGTCCCATGCGCAGCCCACCATGCCACCGGGGCTGTGTATCAACCCATGGGAGGACCGAAAACACGAAGCGCGGAACCGCTGCCGGACTCTGCGAGCCCACGCTGAGGCAGATGATCACATGACACTGACACCCGGAGGAACTGGGGATGAAACACACAGGGCAGACTCGTGTTTTCAGATAGCAGCTGTGACGCAGGACAGGGTAGAACTGCCCCCGTGGGTTTCTGAGACTCACTCTAGGGTCGAAAGCCTTTCTCAAGCTGCGAGTGGTTTTGAACTGCTGGCCTTGTGGCTCGCAGCCCAAGGCATAGCCACTATGCCACTGGGGCTCCTCGCACATTTGCAGACGTATTCACAATAGCCAATGGGGGCCAACACCAACCGGTCTGGTGCATGCGCACAGCAGGATCTTGCTCCGCTGTGAAGCTCAGTACAGGCCACAGGCCAGATGGACCTCGAAGAGGTGACAGAGGTGCCAAGTAACCAATGCCAGTCACAAAAGGCCGCGTGTCACTCAGGAGTCGGGGAGGGGAGGACTCTCACCTGCCAGACCTAGAGGGTGACCCCAGCCTGTGTTTCTCTGACCTCATCCCTCATCAGCCTGTGCCCTGGCCTCATGCTCTCTGGGGTTGAGACCCTGTGCTGTGTCAGATGGAGGTAGAAGCCACTGCCCCCAGTGGAGATTCTATCAATCCAAAGAGCCCTGCCTCCAGTTCTTATCATTTCCTGCCAGCCCACTTCCCACCTGGGGTCCTTTCTGGGCTGTGGGTGGGCTCTACTCAGTTTTCCCTTTTCCCCTTGGCTGCCAGGAAGCTCAGCCCCCCGCCTGCCAATCTTGATCTAGGTTTTCTGGAATCTAAGCTGCCATTTGTTCTAGAGCCTGCAGGGTGTGAGGCGCCTCAGCAGCTGCCTGGGGCCTGTAACCTCCACAGTGACCCTGTCCCCACCATGCTCAGCATCCCCATCTGGTTGGCTGGAAAATGGATGCTCAGGTGAAGTTCATCAACTCACCTGAGATCCTGAAAGAGCCCGTGGCCGATCTGGGATCAAACCCAGGTCCCCAGCAGTTCTTTATGACCCAGTCCTGCCCCCACCACGTCATCCCCCAGGACCCTTGCAGGAGAGGCTCCCCATATCTCAGCCTTCCTGGGCAGTTGCCAGCCAGCCTTTCAAGAGGCCAACACAGTGTTACTAACAGGTGACCAGCATCCGCACTGGCTGTCTGCTCCAGGGACATTATTGGTCCATTAGGACAACCCTGCCCAGCATGTCCAGGTCCCCAAGGCCCTTGTCCTGGAGGACACTGAAGATGGAGGAAGCAGGCAGGGCAGTCAGAGATGCCTGCATAATGGCTGTGTCCCCTCCACTGGTCATCACTTACACTTCCAAGATCGGCCATGTGGCCAGTGGGGGGAGGGAGGCAGTGGCCCCTCCTACCCCCGGGCTATGGGCCCCTACCGTGTGACCACCCCTCAGTGGAGTGAGAGGTGGAGAGAAAAGGGGCAATACAGTCCAGCACCCAGTTAAAGCTGGCCCCAGCTGTACCTCATGGGGCAAGGGGCCTTACCTGGCCACGTCTCAGCTGCCCCCCACTGTCAACTGCCCCCTTAAGAACTGAATGACATGTCCAGTGAAGTAAGCCAGTCACACAGGCCACTTACATGAGGCCATTTATGTGAGCTGCCCAGGCCAACCCCTGGACAGAGTGGCTCACAGCTGCCCAGCATGGGGACAGGGGGACTGCTTCCGGGTAGGGCTTCTCTCCAGATGATGCCAAGGCTCTAGGATTGGTGGCCCAGGTTGTAGACACACTGACACCATGTCATGCAGGTGGCTGGATGGTACAGAGAGGGGACATGTGGCTGTCGATCTCAAGCAGCACATCCAGAGTCCGGTCACTGCAGTTGGCCTTGAAGGCCAGTCCCTCCCCTCCTCTCCCAGGCTGAATGCTGCCAGCCTCGGGGCACAGGAAGAGCAGTCTCTACTGGTCAGCATCCAGTGAGGACAAGGACACAGCTAGGTTCCCTTCCCTCCCAAGGCCCAGCACCCAACACCCCAGAGCTGGGCTCCCCTGGCACTGAGAACCCCTTGCGCTGGCAGAAGCCAAGAGGAGCTGCCCGAGGTGTGCATCCCTCCGTGTGCATGCTGGCAGCAGTGACGTCTGCTGGGTGGTGGACCATGGTGCGTGGGGGTCTCTCCTGCTCAGAACAGCTCCAGGACAGCCGCCACTGTGCTCTGGCCAAAGATGAAGGTGCCCACCAGCACGGAGACCACGCCCCAGAGCTCCAGGCAGCACCTGCCAAAGGCACGCAGCTGGTCAGCGCCACGGTCCACCTGGGTCTCCTGTGAGGCTTGCTGGGCACATGGGGCAGCTCGCTAGTCTGGGACAGACCCCAAGCGTCCTCCACCTGTGCAGAGAGGCTCTTAGGGCATGGAGAAATAAAGGTGGCAGGGACCAAAGCAACAACGGACATGCCACCTGTAACTGCAAAGCCTCATCCTGTCCCAATCACCTTCCAAGGATAGGATGCTCACTGTTCAGCCCTTTCCTATCGCTGCCCAAGTTGGGGAGCACCCTTTCCCCTAAGCAAGGAGGGAGAAGGTTCTAAGATCTCTGCAGGGCCGGATCAGGTCTGCCCCTACGAGGCCTTGGCAGGTGAGGTCATGTTTGCAGGCTCTTAATACAACCAGAGGAGACAACAGGCAGACAGTGGGGCGAGGGCCATAAGGAGATTGCCACAGAATGGCCTGACCGGCGGCAATATTTCTGGCCCCATTAAGGCAGCCAGGGGCTCCGTTGTCATGGCAGGCTTGTCTCCAGCCAGGCAGCTGCCCAGGAGGTCCACGCCCAGCTACCCAGGGAGACTTGTCTATGTGCCGGCTGCTAGGAACCACCCCTGCACTCCCGAGGGGCTGCCAGGGAGGCAGGCTTCTCCCGAGGACAGGGTGAGGGCTGGCCTGAGCTTGGACCAGGGACAAGGCAAAAGCAAGCCTTCAGAGCCTGCTGTGGGGAGGGTACCCGCTTCAGGGCATCACAGGCACCTGTGGGGCCAGTTCTGAATCCAACGACACCTCCCTGCCCAATGTGACTCTGGGGAGGTCAAGCTGGAGAACCGGGTGGGGTTGGCAGTGTGGGATGTGGACACACCGGCTTGCACCGGCCCAGACCCATGGCCGGCCAGGCAATGGATCAAGCATGGTCTCCAAAAGGATGCGGCCTTTGACTGTGTGACCCGTCCGGCAAGAGTCTTGCTCCTGCAACTCAGCAAGGCGAGGGTGCGCTGAGAGCGACCACCAGTGTCCTTGTAAGGAGAGACGCAGGGAGCTAGTGACAGTGATGGGGGGGTGACATGCCATAGGCTGAGGATGGCCAGGAGGGACCTTCTGCCGGGGCCTCCAGAGGGAGTGGCCTTTCTCAAGCCTGGGTTCTGGGCTCTGGTCTCCAGAGCGGAGGGGACCACCCCAGCCCCAGCCCAACTCTGGTCAGACGCGCTGTTATCACTGCAGTGCTGCCCCCCAGCGTGTGTGGCTTGTCACTGCACCCCAGAGCCTCACAGCTAATTTCCCTGGCTGGTGGGCTCACTTTATCCATCGGGAAATGGGAGGAAGTGCCAGGCAGACCCTAAAGGGGTTCCCTGGGGTGTGTGGTCTGGGGATCCCGCAAGGTGCCTTTCATGCACACAGCCCCTCCTTCAGCCTGGGTGGGAGGACACACCTCATAGAGAGGCTCTTCCCAGCTCTTCTCTGTCTGGCAAGGCGGGCAGTGGGCAGCTCTGGCCTGACCACACAGAGCCCCGACCACAGCCCCTGCTCGGGACCTAGCAGCCGGCGCATGGGTATGTCACCCTGGGTAGTTGGGCATGGACCTAGCGGGGTAGGCGCAGACGCAGCTCAGCATGGGTCCGTACCCCCCCCCCAGGCCCCATCCCGTGGCCCTCGATGCCACACCCACAGAGGGGGCGCAGAGGGGGCACCAGGTCCACACACGGGCACACCTGTCTGCCCGCCGCCCCTCCTCAGGACACTTACTTGAGTCTTGTTCCCAGGGGCTCAGTATTCATGGCACCAATGAGGCACAGACCTGTGAGGGGCAGGGGAGGCGCTGCCTGAGCTCCACAGCAGGGAAGTGGGGTGGGCAGGAGCGGGTGCACAGCCGTGGGTGGGCAGGCGATGGGGGGAACAGCTCGGGGTTTGACCCTCAGTTCGGCTGTGTTCTAGCTATGTGACCCCAGGGTCTCCGGCCTCAGTTTTCCCCTCTGTAGGCAGGGGCTGAAAGAACCCTCCCATGGGACTACCGAGACGTTCAAATGAAGACTGGGTGTGGGGGTGAGGTGGGGGGCCCTTGGAGAGCACCAGTCCGGGCCTGGCTCTCCTAAGCAGGTGCTCGGTAAACAGACAGGGCGAGGGGTGGGGGTGGCAGGCGCAAGGGCATACAGGCCAGCGGCAGACGCGAGGAGCCCGGCTGGGCAGGGCAGGGGTGTCACCTGGGAAGATAAAGATGAAGAAGGCGCTGATGCCACCGATGATGCCGATAACCTCGCTGAGGTCGGGCAGGAGCAGGGCCAAGGTGAGTGTCACAGCCACCCATGCCACAGTCAGGGGCATCCGCACCCGGGGACCGGAGGGGTCTGCTGGTACCCTGCAGCTCCGCCTCCACACATCCTGCAGCACCGACCTGCGGACCAGGGCCACCGCTGATGCCAGCCACGCCCACCCCACCCCATGAGATGGCCAAGGATGCCAGCCACGCCCCTGTGGATATGGAACACGCCCCCCTCCCCACTCCTCAAGGCGTCAGCTATGAGAGAGACCACAGCAATCCCTACACCTCAGGTGGTTTGGGCCCTGGGAGGATCCCAGTACAGAAAGATGTGACATATGAGCCAGCAGAGAAAACAGGCGCCCATGAGTGACAGCCAGCCAGGCCAAACCCCCAAGAATGTGGGGAGGAAGGACTTGAAGCACCCTCTACCCTGGTGGCAAGGAAGAACCACGCGCCCCAGCAGTTGGCCTGCAAAAGGTTTCCCTCTTCCCCTTGGCTGCCGGGGAGCTCAGTGGTGGCAACTTCTGGTCTTTCCCAAGTTGGCACAGGGCTGTTGTCCTGCCCTTTGCCTTCCTCCTGTGAAGAGCCTCATGCCTGGCTGCACTGCATGTGTTAAAGCAGCTTTGCCACAGGTGGAGGTCCGCAGACAGACCCCCAACTTCCTGTGCTTCCCAGAAGGAGTGCTTTTATAGACGGGAGGTCTGTGACTGCCCTGGACTGTTTACTGATAACATGTGCTCACCGCATGTCTGTCTGTCGGGGTCTAGGTCATTCTCACCCTACTTCAAACGTTTTCATCACACACACGTCAGACTACAGGCTGCATCACTTTTATACTCAAAAAACTCACTGCCCCGGAGCCCATGCCCACTCACAGCAACCCTCTAGGACAGGCTGGAACTGCCCCCGCGGGCTTCCGAGGCTGTAAATCTTTATGGGAGTAGAAAGCCTCATCTTTCTTCTGTGGAACGGCTGGGGGTTTCCAACTGCCGGCCCTGTGGTTACTCGTGTGACTTGCTTTGTTGGCATGTTCGGCCTATGTCCACACTTGCCTGCCTGTGGTCGCCTGAACCCCAACCCAAAATGTCTCCATAGTCTCCTGTACAGAGGCAGCACAGGTGGGGAGAGGGAGGCTGGGGGGAGGAGAGGGCCGGGGGGTAGGGGGAGAGACCGGAATTGAAGCAGAGGCTGGGGGCGTAGCAGAGCTAGAAGCCATGTTGCCATAAGCCCAGGCTGGCCTGCCACACCAGGAGCCTAGAGGCCGGCAGGGGACAGAGGCTCCTTGGAGACTTGGGAGGGGGGACACGGCCTTGTCACCAGCTTGGTCTGGGACCCATTGGTGTGTAGACTAGCCAGGGCCCCAGGACACTGACAGGTGCCCCTATGTCCAGGCAGGCCCCGAGTCCTGAGAGTGGCCACGAGGCGTGGCTGTGTGGGCCGGCGGGTCTCACCTGCCCAGGAAGAGCACAATAGGGTAGACTGTGACAATGGACACAGCGAAGAGGACTCGGGCTATGATGATGACCACGTCCCCGCCTGGGTAGGACATCAGGATGTCAGCCGAGACGTTGGCCCCGAAGGTCAAGAAGCCGTAAGCCCCTGAGAGGTGGAAGGCAGGGGGCTGGTCAGATAAAGGAGGGGCCATGGCCACACACCGTGGCTCCTGGTGTACCCTGGGGGGTCCTAAGGCACCCACCCTTGGGACTGAATCCCTGATACTCATCCACAGAGGGTGGTGTCACTCTGTAAGGTGGGTGTTACCCCACCGCTTCTCAGCCACAAAGCTAGGGTTGCCCTGTGGGGTGCCTGCCACCCAATACAGTGGCCAGGGGCCGACCAATAAGGTGAGTGACCATCAGCCAGACGCCATGCTTTGAAGTGATGCTCCCCATTCCCTGTCCTGTCCCCTGGGCTCACAGCCCGGCAGGACAGAATGGAACTGCCCTGGGGGGGAGGGGGAGTGCGAGGCTATAAATCTCCACGGACAGCCTCCTCTTTCTTCCTCAGAGTGGCCAGTGGATTAGAACCGTGAGAGGAACAGCTCGATGCAGGGCCCACGACGCAGGGCCCACGGCATGCCAGGCCTGGCCTCACCCGTCAGCGAGTAGACGAGGCAGCAGGCCAGCAGGGACAGCGTGGAGACCAGGGCCCAGCGGGAGAGACGCTGGTCATACAGGCTGCAGTAGATGGACACGGCGGCTTCGTGACACTGCGGCGGGACAAGGTGGCGTGTGGGCTCAGCACCACCCTGCGGCCAGAGGACACCGTGTCCCAAGGCCACCATCCCAGGGTGCTAGAGTAGACAGCACAGGAAGGGACAGGATAGACACACATCCACGGCAAAGAAATGGTCACACAAGTGCAGGGTGAGCCAGGACCCAGGCATGCCAACTCACATGTGCAGCATGGCCCCTCCCGGTGGCATGGATACTCCGTGCCCCGCACAGGTCTAGGGACCCCCGAAACGGAACCCACTGCCACAGGGTGGGTTTCAACTCAGTGACTCCAGCACAGAGCGGAACAGCCCCACGTGGCTGCCGAGGCGGTCACCGTCAGGAGCAGATGGCCTCCTTGTTCTCCCTCAGAGCGGCTGGTGGGTTTGAACTGCCAACCTTGCCATCAGCAGCCCAGGGCTTTAGCACGGCACCACCAGAGCTCCTCGAGACCAGAGCAGAGCTTCCCAGCACTGGGGAACCACTGCACGCACGGGGGGAGGTAGGGTAGGCAACACCCCTAACCTCCCACTGTACATCAGTGGTGCCCCCCGCCCCTAGTTACACAACAGGACGGGCCCCTGGGGAGAAGGGTCTAGGGGAGAATACTGCTGGGGCTGCTGCCCGACCTGGTGATGTCACACGGGCCACTGCAGTGTTAAGTCCCCCCAGGGCCTCACACATGCCCTGAGTCCAGGGGTTCCCGGCACAGCTTACCCTGCTGTGGGCCTGGTTCTCAGGAGGCCTGGTGGCACAGTGGCTAAGTGTTCAGCTACCGAGGGGACTGTTGGGAGTCCTACCCACTCAGCAGCTCTGCCAGAGACCACCTGGCCAACCGCTCCTGTGAGGAGCACGGTCCCGGACACCCTGGGGGCGGTCCCACTGTGTCAAAAGTCTCTCGCGGCGTCAGGATTGGCCCCCACAGCAGCAGACCCCAGCTCGCAAAGGGAGCTGTATGTTGGGGTCCCGGCGGGCTGGCACCACAAGTGCTCCCAAGGAACCTGGGGTTGGTCCTGGGGAGGGCAGGTTCCCAGGCACCAGTTCAACATCCCCCCCCTCTCTCATGAAGACCCCAGGCTCCTCCCCACCTCACTCCCCACTGTCGCCAGGACACAGGACAGACCATGTGACAGCCAAGGGGACAGAGAGCACCAGTGTCCAGCCGTAAGTGGAGGGAGACACAGAACACGGTCAGGCATCAGGCAATGAAGTCCTGGTGCCTGCTGCCACCCCAGGAACCTTGACGATGACCCTGGCCCCTGAGAGCTCCCCAGGCTGCCACGGGACAGACCCACGTGACCTCGCTGAGCCGTAACAGCCAGAAGGGAACATGCACACAGAGAGACCCTGGCAGCCAGGGGCGGGGCAGCTTGAGGGCACGCCTCAGGCGCTCAGGGTGAGGGGGCTTCTTTCTGATGAAAATTCTCTGTGACTGGCAGCAGCATGGGGCCTAGCCCCACTGGGGGTCCGCCCCTCCCTCATCACCTGTCACCCCCTCAGACACTCGGAGAGGGCATGTTGGATGGCGCGTCTGAGCGTGGCCACGGGGCCGGGAGGAAGGGTCCTGCTTCTGTGTTTGGAGGTAGGTGGGCACTGCCCCCCTTCATGGTTACAGGCCAACCCCCTCCAGCTGTGGCCCAACGCCCCCTCCTCCCTGCCATCTTCCTCTCCATGCATTCCCCAGGGTGGTCAGGGGTCCCGGGTTGGGTACGCTCTCCAGCCGGCATCTGAAACCCCGGCCTAGGCCCCGCTGCTAGGAGAGCCGGCTGAGGGGCACCTCTTTAAAACTGAGCGCAGACCGCCGGGGTGAAGCCTACCCAGCCAGATGGCACTGCCTGCTCCTCGGGCAGGCGGGTGGGTGGGAGGGGGGCCACTCCAATGAAACCTGAGCTACTGACAGCCACGTCACCATCACCAGTTCTCCGGAGTCTTCCACAAGGGAGACTCCAGTGAGCCTCAGCGAGGGAGAGGTGAGGGAGAGGTGAGACAGGAAAGTCTCCGAGTTAGAGAGGGATGGGGGAGCCGGCAGCTGGCCCATCGGCCAGGGAGGGAGGGAGCGGGCAGTAGCTCTGCCCTAAAACAAACAAGGGCGTATCTGTGTCCCGGGAGGCAAGGCCAAACCCAGTTGCCCACTGCACCCCTTCTGCAGAATGGGATACTGCCACGCTCCCCAAATAGGCTGGGTCTCCCTCCACTTCATGCTGCCCTCTGCCCTTCACCTGGTGCTTCCAACAGGCCCCCCCCTTCGAAGCTGTTCCTCCAGGCCAGTAGGATGACTTCCCACAACCGGCTGGGAAGACGCTGTGGATTCTGCCCCAGTCCCTCTGCCTCCACAGCAGGGCCACACACGGCCAGTCCTTCCCTGAGACAGGATCGGGGTTGTTTCCTTTCTGTGTCCCTGAGGGCAGAATCCACCTGCACAGCATGTGTGAGTGTGGCCAAGAGCCTGGCTAGTCTCCACATCCCAGGCCCTGCAGGGAGGATGGGTCCCAGGCCCCGACACATGACCAAGTGCAGGGGATGGACTGTCGGCAAGGCCACACGCCTGGTTCAACTCATGCCTCCCTGTATCCTGAGCCCAACCAGGCCTCTCCCCAAGCTCAGCCCACACGTCCCCTCGCCCAGCCTGGCCGGGGCCCAGAGGGAGTCTCTGAATGATATCCCCGAGGGCTGGAGGTGGGCTGAGCCAAGAGAGCAGGTGGATTCACACAGACTGACAGCACTCAGTCACTCACAGGGCTGACCTACAATTACCTGGAACCCAAAGCAGATGGTGGGGAAGACGCTGAACACGGAACTCCAGGAAGAAGGGCTGGAAGGGAGGAAGAGAGGTGTGTGTGAGTGAGAAGTCCCCCTCATACCACCTGCCACCTGTAAGAAGGGGTCTTCCAGGAGACGAAGCATAACGAGACTGGCTGTATCTCAGCCCCCGCACCCACTCCAGGCTTCTGGATATGAGAATACTGCTATATGCACCACGTTTTACCTAGACCCACATGGACACCTGGCTGGCCAGGAGACGGTAACAGGGAGCTGAAGTAACCCCTGGCTCCCCTACCCTCTCTGGAGAAGTGAAACACAGAGGTGCAGGTTGGATCCACCAACAGATGCCCAGGAGGGCAAGGATGGTTTGATCTCCATCCAAACCACCCAGGAGGTGGGATGGTGAGGGACGGATCCACAGGACAAGCCTTCTCAGGGTCCCCACCTGTGGAACTGGCCCCAGCAAACACCCAGAGAGCCACCCCTGAGGCACTACCCCGTCCGATCAGGTACCAGGAGTAGAATTTCTCAGCAAGGAGCCAGAGGTTATCTGCAAACCTCAGGGACTCGCTCCTGCAGGGACCTCATCACTGACTCTCTGGGCTCCCCTAGGATGCCACCAAAAAGCCAGTCTCTTAGACTCACCTCTGTGAAAAACGGGGCTCCCGAGCCAAGCCCTCAGGCCCGAGGTAGTACTGCAGCACAATGACCAGGCTGAGGTAGCAGGCGGCCAGGGTGCCTAGGATGCTGATGTACACACAGACAACAAGCACACACGTGCATTTATGTGTGCATGTGTGCGCACAGATGGTATTAGGGAACAGGTGGTACACACACAGTCAACATACAGGGCCGAGACCCCGACTGTCAGGAAGGCCAGGGAGCAGGCCCCTACAGTTTGCATGTGTCAGCACTACCTCTCCCTAGCTGGGCATCCTGGGCCTTGATGCCCACATCTGTGCAGCACAGACGGCACGAGTCAGAGGCAGCGGGCAGACCTGCCACGTTCCTGCCTGGCAGTGAGCACGTGGCAGCTGTTGGTGCGTCCACCTCTCAAGCACATGGCCAGCCCAGGACACTGGCTCCAGCCCATGACAGAGGGTAGGGGGCAGGGTCTCTCCCAGCTCCCCCAGGACCCTGCTCTGCTTGTGTGGTTTTGTATCAAGATGAACACTCTCAGACAGGAGAGGAAGGGTCTAGCGTGGGGGAGGTTCGGCCAGGCTGAACTTTCTCATAGGAGCCCAGGTGGCGCCGTGGTTACAAGTCGGGCTGCTCCCTGTAAGGTCAGCAGTTTGAAGCCACCAGCTGCGAGGGAGGAAGATGAGGCTGTCAGCTCCCAGGAAGAGTACCAGTCTTGGAAACCCACAGGGGCAGTTCCAGCCTGTCCTACAGGGTTGCTGTGAGTCAGAATTGACCCGAGGGCTGGCAGCGAGTTTGATTGTTTGGGGGAAAGACGAGGCTTTCTACTCCCAGGAAGCGCGACAGTCTCAGAAACCCACAGGGGCTGTTCTACCCTGTCCCCTGGGGTCACAGGATGCGTCAGCATCGACACGATGCCAGGGAGTTTGGATTTAACTGTCTCAAAGCTGCACAGAGAGCCTCGGACCAAGGGGAAGACGTGCCCATGCATGGAAAAGTCTGGAACAATTCTATACTGAGAAGTCAGTAAGGGACACACAAGGACCAGCAGGAAATGCCCAGGCTGCTCGTCTCTGTTCCACCTCCTCTGTCCACTACTCTGTCCGTTCCAGCCCTGGCAGCAGCTCCCCCTGGGCCCACGGAGACACAGGATAAAAGCCAGCTGCCACGGCGCGGGCCCACGTCAGGAGAGCCGTGCTCCACCACACATGGCTGGGCCTCTAGCCAAGCAGCCCACTGTGCCCACCTTTTCTGTGCCTCCCCAACTCCTCCCCCTGCCCCCCACCGGGACACCTGCCAGGAAGGGCCCGAGCCCCCTCGCACCTGGTGTACTTCTGGAAGCCAATCTCCCGGGGGGCCGACAGGGGCAGGATAACCAGGCAGGAGAGCAGAGCCAGGAGGAAGCGCTGGTCGGCATACCAGGGCCGAGGGGCGGGGGGCACAGTGGGCAGCAGGAACTCATGCACTGTGGGGTGAGTGGAGGGTGGAGGGTGGAGGGTGGGCCTGAGGGTTGTCAGCAGCAACCACTGTAACCAATGGCCCCCCAACACCTGAATGCCCACCTAGAGGGGCCCCTCCTAGCCTGTATCTGCCCTCCCCCAACACCCTCCCCACTGAATCTAGGCTTGCCTGTGGAAATCCCACCCCACAGAAGCACCCAACCCGACACAAGCAAGCATTGCTTTCCCTGCCCCTGGGGTCTCCCCCCCCCCCCTGGGCCTGGATGGCCCACTGCCTCTACACCCCTCTCCACGCAGCACGGCCAGCTGCTTCTGACGCCTGATATCGCCTCAGCTGGCTGCTGGCCGGCAAGGGCTTCGGGCTGCTCGTAAGATCTGCAGTTCAGAACCACCAGCTGCTCTGAGGGAGAAAGACGAGGCTTTCTGGTCCCGGAAAGAGTTACAGCCTCAGAAACCCCCCGGGGCAGCTCAACCCTGTCCTGTGGGGCTGGCATTGGCTTGACAGCAGGGAGTGTGGTTTAGGGTTTGAACCCACCCACCCAGGGCTTTGTAAGACGTGCTGGTGGTGCCACGAGTCTATCGGGCTCGCAGAGACCCCACAGGGCAGAGCAGGACGACCCTATGGGGGGCTCTAAAGCTGCAGATCTTAGCGGAAGCCGCCAAAATTTCTCTCCAGCAGAGCTGGCTGGTGAATTCACACGGCCCACACATCAATCGGTTCAATGTGGAACGCTAACCACCACGCCACCAGGATCGTTTCCCCAGAGACCCTTCCGTCTCAGCACTGCACAGCCAGCACTGCACAGCCAGCGGCCTTCTTGTTTGCTGCACAAAGGCCGGGCGGAATAAAAGCGCAGGCACAGGGAGGTGTCCGGCCTCCGCCCCACCACGTCAATCATCCCCAATTAAGCGCCTGAGATTGCCCGAGGGGGACTCGGAGGACCATATGGTGCCCAGAGGACATGCGTCGCCCCAATTCCCCAGGCACAGTCAGGCTTGGAGGCAGAGGGGGAGAGGAAACCAGGTGGTGTGGGGAGTCGGAAGGCGCAGTCAGTACAGGAGGATGAGATTCGACAGCGGAGAGTATCAGAGAGGCTGAGTGGGTGCACAGAAACCTGCGTTCCACTACAAACAGCAAAGCTCGCTGAGATGGAAGCAGATCAACGGGTCTCTCTGCCCTTCCCCAGAGAATCTACAAGCCTTTGATTTGGAGCACGAGAGGAAAAAAACCCAAACAAACAGCAGAGGGGGCTTCCAGGAAGGACTCCACTCATGTCCCTTTTTCAATGTTCCTTGAGTTTGGGGATCACAAAGAAGCACAAGATGGTAGCTGTCGGGCGGATGGGGGCAAGGCTTCCCTACCAAATTGTCCTAGGACAGCCCTGGCTGCCCCAGGAGGGAGGAGGAGCAGGCACCTGGCTGTGGTGGGAAATTAAAGACCAAAGGGACGTCCATGCAACTTCCCGGCCTTTGTCCCCACAGGGAAGGTTTCCGGGCTCTTAAAACTTCTCCCTCGGCATAGAGGACAATGGGCTCATCACCCGATGTGTAGCCAACGGCAGGATCTCAACAGGAAAAGCACAAACAGCCGCGTGGACCAACGGGCAGGAGGCAGGAATAGACAGTTTGCCAAAGACGACATCCAGGAAACCAGCAACCAGCATTCCTGTGTGTTAGCAGTAAGAGAAACACGAACTACAACAACCAGGTGCCCCACGTCATGCCAACACTCGCAGCAAAATTCACAAAGACAGGAGAATCAAGGCTGAGAGGATGGGGAGAGACCGGTACACCCAGACACCACTGCCGGGCCGTGTGACGTGTCCAGCCGCCACGGGAATCCATATGACGCTTCCCTGAACAGATGCAAACACGATTACCTGATGCTCTCCCACGCAATCCGTGTCTACAGAGATCAAGAATCCAACTTGACCGGACACATGCACACCTATGTTTGCCACAACAATCTCCCTCCACAGGAGCAAACACATGGAGACAACCAACAACTCCGCTGACAGAGGAGTGGGTATACACACACACACACACACACACACTCTCTCTCTCTCTCTCTGTCTGCATTCATCCAATGGAACGTTACACACAATTAAAAAGAACAAGGAATCTCCAACATTGCAAGACGAGGGCAACGCTGGAGAACACTTTTCTCGGGCAAGTAAGTCGATCTTATGAAAGTTCAAGACACCACACAAGGAAAAGCAAAGGAAAGTGGTTTGCACACCAAAAACAAACTTTGACTACGATAGCAAGCCCGGGAGTGGGGTTGGGGCGGAGAGAGGGAAAACATAGGAAAGAATAGAGGGGGAAGGGTGAGATAGTTAAGGTTTATTGTGCCAACCTGGCTGATGAACACATGTGGGGTTAATTGAAGGGCGGAGAGATAAATGGCTCCGTGAGCCTCGCCTTTCTAGTTCTCGGGTCTCTTGCTTTGTGACGGTCGGACCAGGGAGCAGCTGCTTTAGCCAGTTCCCTGCTCCAGCTGGCAAGGCTGACTTCCTGCACGACATCCCCGAGAAGCCACATGGACCTACCCCGATGCAGCCCTG